ATAGGATTCCGACTTGAAAGCAGTCAGGCATATTTGAGGAAGGGAAGCCACTTAAACTTTTCCTCCTTCAGTAATCTCAGATTTCAGCTCAAGGATACCCAATCAATGGGTTGCAACAAGATGGCAACCCAACCAGAGAGTTGATTTGGTCGCAGTATGCTTCATACACAAGTAATAGGTGGCACACGACATCATGCCTACAGATGAAACAGATGAAGCACAATGGGAAAAAGTAAAATCACCATAATATGGCAATTTTCCCTTCATAATTTAAACATACCTATCTTCCCATGACCAATATCAACAGTGCATCCAGAAATGCGTCCTACAGCATATAGAGATAACACTGCTTGCTCTGACGCATAAAAGCCAGAGATGTTAAATGTTTCAAACATCAGCTGCACCAGCTGTTCCCTCACAGCCTACGGAAAAACCAGTAACACTCATTACTAAAGGAAGCAAAAGTGTCCATGCAGATCTCGACACATGTATAATACTGAACTGAGATAAATTACGCTTAGATGGATGCAACAAGTTCAAGCATCTAGAAAATCGACAAAAATCTGATGAAATGGATAGCACGTTTACTAAAATCACATAGGTAATAGTGCCACAAGCCATCACTAAGCTATAAATACTCCAACAAGCACAACGCCATGAAGGAAACTGAGAACAGATATCTTATAATGACAGGCAACTATTAGAAACCTCATGAAAATGCTCAATTATTAACATTGAAGACTCAATTTAATGGCACCTATTAAAGCTAAAAAAGCCAAAGAATTAGCCAACCTTGGGGGTGCAAAGCGGATCTGTGAATAGTATTTGTCCTTCATTTCCTATTTCCCATCCCAGGCCAGTGTACAGTATATGGTGGAGCAGATCTTCCATCGCATCCCAATCTCTAATATATCCACGCACTACAGGATCAACAACGATATCCTCACACAATGAATTTTCAGACAATGATCCATCTTCAGGCACGCGCTTCATATGCGTAGGGATGATCTAACCATAAGCGGAAAATGGGGAAAAAGATCACAATTACTTTAAATCAGAGTCAACTTGATTACATGAGGGGAAAAAAATGAGAAAGAACAAAGAAGAGAAGTCGGGTCACCATTAGCTACAGAATGATCACAGTTAGACAATAAGGAAAACAATTCCCTTCAATAAATCTAACGGGAACAGAAAATCTGTCTAGAAAGAGAGAGATTTGGCAATAGTTGACCATAACAATCGGATAAACAATCAGGGATAAAAATGAATCTTTGAAAAGCATCCAAGAGAACAAGGCCCCCTGATCGAAGGAATGCGAATAATTGTTTATCGTCAAGTAGCTGGGATTATTTTTGTGAACCTAAATTCACTGCCACTAGATCATAATGCACCGGTAAGTCCCCATCATATGAATGCTCACCCTCAAAACCTTGAAAGTGATATTATCATATATTAGTCATAACAACACCGGAAGCACACATGCAAAGCAATGTGGAGTAACACCTGGGCCTCGGTAAGAGGGAGTCTTAGGAATGGAATGGGAATGAGGCATTAATTTCCATTGACCTGGTTATTAGGCAACGCATATTACGAGGGATGGAATAAACCGTGGGAATAAATTGCCATCATTTCCAGGATTTTCACAGACACGCAAAAAGAGCTCGCCAAAATAATTTGTTCTCCATGTAAGATCTCATTTGGCTCTTTTAGCTCCTTTCTCTCTCAGCCAAAAGTCATCTGACATTTGCATCAGGCTTTTGAAGAAAATCACATCAAGTATTCCACCTACTTTCCTGTGGTGACTTGACTTCATTTTTCATTTATCTTTGCCACTTTTCCTTTCATATTTTGTGACATTCTTTTGCAGTAAAAAAAGTAAACTTTTCACTGCAATTCTTATCTTTTGTAATATTTACTTGAGTTCCTTATACCCGTAATCAGTAGTCATTTTAACTATTATGATGTTTTATTACCATATGTTTTTATTAGTTCATGTGGGTCTTGTATATATGTTCTTTTAAAGTTACTCTGATTGTGATTGTTGTTAATTTTTTGTTTTGTTACTGTATTTCATAATTTCTTAGAAATAATATAGGTTATACATAGAAATGACACATTTATCTAAAAAAGAAAAAAAAAAGAAAATCTTATGTTAGTGATAATATTTAAAAGTATGCTTACATAAATCTACTTCACGTAATATTCAGCTCAACTTATATATAAAACATGACCAGATGTCATAAAAGTTGGGTTTCATTCTAATTTCTAGTTATAGTCTACCAAACAGAGGGAAGAGGATTGGATTGCCCATTCTGATTCCTACATTCCCATTCTGAGTCCTTCATTTCCATTCCCATTGCCTGATTCCAAGTGACCAAACAGGGCCCTAAAGAGTTCGCTTATACGAGGATGGTAGCAAGCACTGCTGAATAATCATCAAAACTCATGTCATCTGTTCTTTAAGCCAGCGATGAGAACACTGAAGAATATAAAAAGGGAAAAAAGAAAGAAAAGTGCCATCTAGAAAGGAGGATGAAGAGTGCATCCTAATAAATTGGCCGAGGAAATGTCATAACTCGATACTCACACTGTGCCTACACCATATAACATGAAAGACGCGTCCAATCATTATAACCTCCAGCATTGTATGAGTCACTAAGGAACAGTACAACAACTTATGCCGAAAACAAGGCAAGCGATACATTATTCAGAGCAACTCTCCGATTTCCCTTCTCCAGAAATCTCTTGGCAAACAAACCTAGTCGAGGACAAAAAGGGAAGCACTTATCAAGATCAAAACAGCCCCAAAGGTTGAGGATTTACTATCGGGACAACAATCTTCCATACAAGGACAACTAACCCCTCGCTTGCAAAGGCGAGAAAATGCTTCCCACTCGATATAATTCGAGCTCGCTTTAGTCACAGAGAACAAGAAAACACGAGAAGGGAAGGGGACAACTGAAAAAATCCATCACGACCCACTTTCCAGTGCCCAATTTCTCAGCAACAAACCGAAGAAGAAAGCGGAACCAAGGGTAGCAGAAAGGGAAAAGGCCAAAAAAAAAAGGGGGGGGGGGGGGGGAAGAGCTTTAGTACTCACCATGGAAGGAGCCTGGTCAGGAACCGCAGGCCCCGCTTTGAGGAGCTTGGAGCCAGCATCGACGACGACAGCCTCCATGAATCGGGGCCCCCCCAAAAATCACGACGAGAAACCCTAGCGCCCGCCCTTCAGGACCCCGGAACTCCAAAAGGGTTCGGCGAGGCTTTCAGCTTGCAGCTGCAGGCAACAGCAAACACCCTGCCGAACGGCAACCTTTGCACTCGCACGTTGGAGTCCCACTTCACTACTGGTCCCCCCGCCCTGTTTCAAGAAACTCGGCGAGCGGGCTGACGGTTTTGAATGTCTGCAACTGCAATGGCAAATTGAGAAAAAAAACAGATCTTTTTTATTTTTTTGGCCGCTTTCCTTTTTATATGTTTGGTGGTTTGACGGAAATTGAGTGGAAACCAAGGAATTTCGAGAAAATGGAAGAGAAAATTTTCGCACCGGGGGGGTTGCAGGGGAAAATGGGAGAAAAAGAAAGTGAGAGGAAATTATACAAAACTCCCCATGAGCTTTGGGATTTCACACTTTTGTCCCCCTCCCCCAAACTTTCCAACGATTAACACTCCTTATTGTTTTCATTGACGTGTGCATTTGCAATACAAAAAAATGATTAAATGATACTTAAAGGATCAGCTAATGCAATAAAATGATTGACCCACAAAGATATCTAAAAGAATCATAATAGAAAATGATGTTCTCGTTCCGTAAAAGGAAATAATTAACCGAAGTCTGAGGTGATTTTTTAAACTACTTTTTATCGTTCAACCATTTTCCTTTCGTTATTGAGGTTTTTATCCTTTTCAATTCGTCGTGTTTCTTTTTCTTAAAATATGTAATGAATCTTATTGATATTTTCATCCATCTATGAAGTTTTTACTTTTAATTCTATTATTAATAGCTATTTTTGTTGATTTGATATTTTTGTCGAATTACTTTTATCTATTTGAGTTATTTTTTTCATGTTTTCTACGGAAAAGAGAGATTAATACTAAAAATGAAAGGAAAATGCACATTTATACTAAAAAATTGTGTACATGGCACATATTAACGGCTAATATAAAGGGGCATTGTCGTCCATAACAAAATGAAAGTTCATGGAAATAATGTGTAACGGATGAAAATGTTGCGAAAAACATGTATGATCTCCAAAATTAAGTTTTGTATGGTTTCCTCGAAAGTAAAGTGAGCTCTTGTTTTTTTCAATCAAAGTCGTTGCCTTCTCCAATAAAGTTAATATGCAAAGTTATCTCATTATACCTCCTGTTCGATTCCCCTCGTTACCTTTTACTTCAGTACGCATTCAAGCAACACACAAGTGGTATTATTTTCCTTCTTATTTTCGCACCATTTCCTTTCTCTTCGTTTCCCTTCTGTCTTAATTTGCCAAACAAAGATGGCCGTGTACTCGCAATGTTTTCAGAAGCTAGGCTTAGACCGGACTAAGGAGAAATTTATGTAATATCTCATCCTTCCGTTGTCGCATCTTCAACCAAAAAGAACCCACATCTTTATTTTTAACCTATTTTTGCATTTTTTTCGCTCGACAAAAGGATATTTGTTTGGCTGAAAAAGGAAATTTGATAATATTCAAATATCAATGCTCTATAAACACTTGTTAATTATAATTAATAAGAAGGTTTCAAGTTTCAATTATACAAGAAAATCAGTGTATTGAAAACTGAAAAATTTTCTTGGTTACCCCCTTAACAAGTGTTTTTAACAAACGCTCTTTAACGAAAATTCAATTTCACTATTTCTAGGAGTTTGATGTCCCTTGAAAGAGATCTTGAACGCATTCCACAACGCATCCACAACGCATACAGAAAACAGACAGGCAAATGAAAAGAAGAGTTCTACAGACAGGCAAATTCATCGATCACAGCACCAGAAGAGAGAAGGGATAAGCTCTACAGCCAAAAGGTCGATCGTTACAGCAATCTGAAGGCATGAGAGTTCAAAGAATGGGAAATTACATGCTTGACCAGCGCGATCGCAGCTCCGGCCTTCAGAATTATCTACTTTTGAAACCAACAAATCAAGCCTTCTCAATCTGCCATAGAGAAATGGTAACAACACACCATACTCTAACTACAATGACCATACCACCACCCCCCGCGACGCCCCCCCCCCCCCCCGGAAAAAAAAAATACCAAGACTTTCCTTGCCTAACCGCCTACTTGGTTACATTGGACAGATACCTAACTACAAAATTCAAATTAAAACCTAGAAGAAGCCGAAAGCTGACCTAAAATTGTCAATTGGGAATAAGAGAAAAAATGGAAAGACCTTTGCAGAAGGCTATTAGCTCCTGAGGAAAGAACCAGGCCACAAGCAAACAATGCTCCACAGAGAAATCAAATCCTCAAGCTCGGGACGGCCTTTCTCTAACAAGGGAATAACACTTCATCTTGGTGCTTTAATCAACAAAGAACATCTTTGGGGCTGTATCGTCAAAATCCAGGATGAGAAGTTCGCACCATCACAAAGAATTTCACATTCATTTCTTTGACTTTCTTCACGATTCCAATCACGTCTTCGACCTCTTTCTCTTTTGAGAAACAAAACGCACGCCATGCTTCTCAAGTTCCACAGTCTTCACTCTTCCATCATCCAGATCAACAGACAACGTAGATGTCCCTTCAATAATATTGGTTACCATGCCCTTATGCCTGCAAAAGGTTGGAACATAACAGAAATTGACATCAATGAGGACAATCTTATTCATAACTTTTTGGTGCATAAAGCTTAAGGAAAAATAAATCAAACAAATGCATTTGCCGGACTTTCAATGTCCTTTAATTCTTTTCAGTGCTGAATACCATATTTCATACTTTTCCCATTCCCTCAAGAAGTACAGATATTTTGTTGTCAAGCGTTAAATAGAATCCCCCAAAAACATGAACCTCCCCAAATACTTCAAGAGTTAATCAATTTCTAAGAGATACGGCATATAAGCCAAGAAGTATACACATTTTTTATTCCCATCAAGGATGTCACAATCACAATTTTACAAGTGAGATATTGCAGGATCAGTTCAATTGAACAAATATAATCCTCAGCTTGCCACTTACTACATTTAAGCGACGGAAAACAGAAATGAAAGAGAAATTTTTTACCAAGAATTGTCAGATGGCTGATGGACCTCAACTCTCTTTCCAATTGCATCTTTGCCCAATTTTTTCAAAATCCAATTAGCATCCATGATCTCATCCCGTAGGTTGTCTTGATGCAGCCGATTAACATCTTCATCTCCATCATTAGAGGCTTTGGCCATAAATGGTGATGGTCTCTTTCTTTTTGACCTTTGGCCCTTGATGGAACTCTTCTCTTCATCCCAGAGGGATAGTTGGGAGGGTGGATTTTCACGATTGATATTCTTAAACTTAAGCTTCAGCAATGGCTTAGAATCGTTTGGCAAGGATTGTGACAAGGGTGTATGAACATGGTCGCTATTGCTTTCAATGTTCATATCAGGCCTGCCATCCCTTTGCTTTTCCAAAGATACTTTCTCGTGTCTAGACATTTGCATTTTACCAGCAGCTTCAGATGCAGGAACGCTTCCTTCTGCATTTCTTCTTCTGAATACAAGACGAGTGTGCTCTGGAGGCTTAATTCCAACTCTATCAGCATTACTGCCCAATCTTGGATTTATGTCATGAACTTCTGATCTTATTTTCCCAAACTTGATGAGATTGCCTTCTTTTACCCCCGACTTGACAACCTTTGATTGGCCCAAAAAATCAGACATTTCTCCTGCAAAAGAGAGAAAATTCCATTTCATTTCAACTTCTACAAAAGTTTAAATATAGAGAAATACCATAAGCCAATAGCCTGAAAGGATTTCATGAAGTGATCAAACAAGCAGCTCACAAAAACTCAACATACCAGTGCTGTCATTCCTATCTGCCAAAGATTTATCAGTAAGTCTCTGATGGCTCGTGTGTTCACTGCCTGATCATAAAAAGCCAGAGTGCAAAATAAGCCAAGCATGCTATGAAAAATACAAGAATGTAACAAGCTTGTCTTTCAGCAACCCGTGAAATGGTAAACTTATATGAACAATCAGCACATGCACACCCTTCCTATTCCTCCTTGCACTAAAAAAATTGAGGAAAGCATGATCTGTTTTACTCGACTTCCAACAATGAACCTAGATTATAATTACAATGCATACCATTGGAAGTCAAGATATCTTGTTCTCTTTGGCAGCTGGAAGCATCGGATCGGGGCGAATTAGTAGCATTTCGATTTCGAGCACCCAAGTGTATGACCAACTTTTTTTCATTTACATTCTTTGACTTGCTAGCATGCTGTCCAGAATCAACTCCGCCAGCTAAATCCTGAGGATTGCTGCTCTTAATATGAAGAACTCGTGGTTTCTTCTCTTCAGTGCCAGCAGTAACTTCTTCAATGAACTTGTGTTTTAATACGCCTGGCTCATTGATGGAGCATATTCCCTCAGCATGGCTCGAGCTTCTAGCATTGGGAGAAGTAAATACTCCTCTGCATTCGGAATGTATACCGTCATTCTTGTCCTTGTTAGAGTTATGGGCAAGCGATTGAACATCAGGATGCGGCTCAAAATCTTGATGTGGTTGCAGAGTCCCAGCAGAAGATTCTGGATGCGGCTTTTTCTTAATATTCTTCTTGCTAGGTTTCTTCCCATGTTCCTTTGGTTTTTTTGGCGATTTCTCATTTAAACCTTTAAGAGAAAACTTCAAGGACCGTCCATATTCACTTTTAAAAACAGTGGGACCACTTTCTTCATCATCCGAGTAAGGTGAAATAGAGAAGATTTCTTCCTGAGTAGGCAATCCAGCAGCAGCCCGCAAACTAGCAATAAGATCTCTATCGGCAAAGTCTTTCCTCCTCCAAAGCTCTTGAACAGCATCCTCAAGATCCTTGACCTATCCCACTCATTGAAGTGGGAAGAAAAGGATCAATTCCAAAGCAACACCGTAAATGAGAAAAGAGAAGAAAAAGAAAAGAAGACCAGTGAAAAAGACAAGGAAAGTCTCCTTTTAGACATACCTGGTAACACTCTCCACGGCATGTGGGACATATGTACTGGAGATTTCCATCCACTTGAAAATGTAGATACTTATCGTCGCTGTGGGAACATATAAATCAACAATCAATACTTCACGTGCATGGCCAAAAAAACAAAAAACAAAACCTTTTTGTGCGACGCAAATTCATCAGCTAGCATTGAAAAGACAATTTGACTGAACTTCAACAGCACAACTTCCTTCAAGAACAAAACTAAAACAATCCTTGAAAACTCAACATCATCCACTGCAAGTGCATTAGCAAAAATTCTTTGAAACAGAACTGATAGCATTGAGAAATCTTATAAAAAGAGAACAGACATCCATAACCAAAGACATCTCAGCCATACATACCTTTCACACAATAGGACAATTTTACCAGAAGCTAAGTCAAAAGTTCACAGTCCCAGTTACTTACCTGATGCCATCACAATGAGTGTGAACCCAACGCTGGCAATTATCACAACAGACCATTGGCGTTGACTCAGAATCTCTATAAACCTACAAGTTTCAACAACAATAATTATCCACCATGTTTTGATGCACATTGAATCCTCTCTTTACCTCCCAAGCCCCAAAATACAAAATTACCTTCAAACAAACGGGGCAATAGTTCCCCTTGACAAACAATCTTCCACATGCATCACAGCAAGTATATCCCAGAAACCACCTGTTACATAAATTACAAAGGTTAAAATATTAAAAATTGTCTGTTTCAGTCTATAATACCCCCAAGAGATGCTTAACTCTATCTCAATTGCTTCTGGCAAAAATGTTGCAACATAGTAATTTCAGACAGGAACGGTACCTCACACTCAAGCCATTTCCTGGGACATTGGATCCACAACTATGGCACCTTGTATGTTTGGGGCACAGATAAGGTCCAGAACTGACGTTCTGCGATGTCCATAATCATTATGAGCACTTTACAAACCATGTAAGTGACGAGTGAAAAATGCAAACTCACCTTGTGCGGGGGATGCTGGCAGTAACAGTGATATGCACCATCACACCTCTTGCAAAACATGAATTTTTTAGGATCCCCTGCTCTTCGGCATATCTTGCATGACAGAATAGAAAGCAAAGCATAAGGGCCACATTCGCCTTTGAGTCATGACACACCCATGAAATCGGAACAAAGTTAATGGGCCAGCACCAGAAACCCAGCACAACAAAGTAAGCACTTAATCTCAGCAAGTGTATCCAGAAGGAAAGAAGAAACACAGGAGAGAGCCAGCACTTAATGGACCATGAAGATTTCAAATTCTGCAACTCAACGGAGTAAAGAAACCAAAAATCTGAATCCAGATCTTGAGATTGGTCAATTGAGTTTAAATCAAAGAACAAGATCCTGACGACAGCAAGCATGCGCAACCTAACGATAGCACCGGATTTCGCATATTACCTCACAAATTCGGCAAGAGGGACAGGTCCATGAACTCCAGTGAAAAAGATCTGCAGCCATTCAACATTGACAAGGATTAAATAAAAAAAAAAGAGGTTAGAACAAATAAAGAAGACAGGGGCCATGCAGACCAATAAGAACCTTCACAAAAAATCCGTACCCCTGTTCTGAGCCCAGCTTTTAATGCAGCTCCTGTGGTACTTCTTGCCACAACTTTTGCACGAAAGCATCTTCTTTGCTCTCTCACTCCCTTCATTTTCCCCAAAAAGGCACATCCGGCACAATATTTTCGAGTTGGAATGACCTTGGCCTTGACCATGGTCTTCTCCGACAACGTCTACAGAGGCGTCCTATACACACGAGTCGAATTAAGGAAAACAGAATTGGAGTAAAGCACCAAGACGCAAACGAGCCATGAAGTAGGCTCGAAACCTATGAGAAGGAGAAGCAGTCGGCCACCCTCGTATGCTTACGCGGGTCACTCCATCATTTCTACAGATCTAAACTGAGTTATACGATCGTTTTACATCGCGGCGAACCAGATACATGCGAGCGTCTAAGTGCATACAAAATAAAATCGGACGCTCAGCCAAATGAATACACATGTACTAGAATATCGTCTAATGTCGGTGCTGATTAAAGACGAGAGCCCGAGGAAACAGACAAACTTTGTTAAGCGAGACCAAAAGGGAACAATTGTGCATATAAGGGGAAATCCCTGATATACATTCAATGGAGAAATTATACCCTCAAATAGCCCAATGACCTCCAAGTTTGAAATTATCCAAAACACTAAGAGCAATATACATATGCAAAAAACTAGAAAGACTTCTGACAGTTTCGGAATAAAACAGGTCTGCAAGCACACTGTATGTGATAAATTAACCGCTCACCCATATTCAATAACGACGTACGTACTGACACAGCTTCATCTAACGAAAGGTAAAAGTAAATAAACAATTACAATCCAAGCAATTCTCGTAAACCGTAGAGGAGGTGAGCTCACCGCAACGTCACCAGACTCAAATCGCCGAGCATAGTCCTCGGCCGCGACCATGGCGGCGGCGGCCTTCTTCTGCAGCGCGGCACGCTTCGCCTGCGCCGACACGGCGGCCAACGCATCGTCCGCCGCTCCATCAGCCCCGGCCCCCCCGGCCCCGGCGCCAGCGCCAGCACCGCCACCGACGGCGACGATCCCGAGCGCATCGGCGAGGGCCGCGGGTTGCGGGGGAGGCGGGGGAGGCGGGAGTACCTTGGGAACGGCGACCTGGAGGGTACCGGCGGCGTCCCGAGCCCTAATCCCCCACGGATCGACCAGGAACTCCTGGAGCTGCAGGATCTCGCGCACGAACCCATCGTCCTGGCGGAGGCCGCGGGGAAACCCTAGGGAGCAGTAGCAGATTCGGCGACTGCGGGGAAAACAACCGAACCAACCAAACAAAAAGCCAAAACAACGGAGGGGAGTGAAACCTCGAGGAAGAGCGCGAGAGAGGAAGCGGAGGAAAATAAAGAAGGAAGAGGGGGAGGGAGGGAGGGAAGGAGGACGTACCATGTAATTGGGCAAGCTACATGAAAGGCCATACCCATAAGCGGAGGGAGAGACGATATTGGGATTTTGAATTATTCGAGTTTTTGAGGGGCGATTAGCGAAGAGAGAGGGGCAGGGGGCCGCTTCCGAAAAATCTTTTCCTGGGGGATCCTTTTTACTATTATTTATTATCCCCCTCCTCATTTATTCCTGTTTTTCTCCGACCAGCGCCATAACGAAGTTACCCGATGAAGCCTCTCCCGGGAGCGCGCCACGCGTCCCCTCCTGGTTGGGCGTCGTCCTGTCAAAGTTTTTTTTTATATATAATAATAGTGAACGGATGACGTACAACTTTGAGGGGGCCGCGTGGTTGGGGGATAGCAGTTTTTTGCTCCACGTTGAAGATTGGGGTCGCGGGTTCGACCCTCTCCTTTGTGCGGCTTCATTTCTTTCTCTCTCTCTTGTTTTTTTTTTTTTTTTACTATTTTCTAATTTTTAAAATGCAATTTACCTTCAGAGTTATTTTCGCGATTGAATACATATATTGATAGTAAAATTTAGTTAGAAGATAATGCTATTATTTAATGTTTCTACAAAGTAAAAATGACAAGACCAAAACTCTATATTGCAATTATTGAATAATTTGTCATCCAAATCGTGTGCGGTCATGTCTTCTCGAGTGATCAGCTAGATCCATAGAATATGCGAGAATATACACGATTTCAACGTAAAACGATTATACAATAGTTTGAAATATTGGTGCACGAGTAACTCGATCATTTCATCCGGATAATCCAATCTTTTAGAAAAATGCAAGTCGGTAAGAAAAGATATTCTTTATGTCAGGGGTATCTGAGAAATGGGCTAAAACTAGAAGGACGATCACTCTTGAAGTTTGGTGATACCTTCGTCAATTTAGATTTGATTAATGCGATTAGATGAGTTCGCAAAAATTCGATTTGCTCTTTATGCAGTTTCCCGAGACCATCAAAATCAAATGGCGTTGGTAAAAAATTGTAATATATTCAAATGCGGTTGTGAACTTTAAATTGGACTAATCGGGTCCCCAAATCATTTTCCTAAGTTAATTGCACCCTCTAACTTTCTCATTGTGACAATGTTCAATTTGAGCCTCGATGATATTAAATATTAACAGAATTTAATGGCCTTCACACCATTAGTTATGCTATTTAATGGACAAAGCATCCTACGTGGAAACTCAAAATGATATCGACTTAGTATTCTCAATGTGTAAATATACATATATATAAATAAATATTTTTATAAGGAAATCGTATCAGGGAAAACTCGAGTTTTAACCTAAACCGACATTTACATCACCTATTGCGCCAGGACATCCTTTGCAGTTGTTCCCTAGACGTTCTCTGAGAAGTCCAAGCATGGCCTTCTTATGCTCATCCTCGCCTTCAACTCTCATTATTTGAATAATCTTTTCTGCTTCAGCCTTTATATTTGCTGCAACCCACAGTCCAAAACAAAAACAAAACTTGCAATAAATTCATATTACTCTTATAAGTTGTCCAAATGGTAGCACTGGCTAAGAAAATTCGAGGTTACCGATACTAATGTCACGCATAGCTCGCTGAACACGCTGGTCCAGGTCAATGCCAACAATCAGGATTCCCACAATCTCCTATCCATAGACGGACATAGCCTGCAAAAGTTAGAGAACTCCAGTTCAGATCATCTCTCATAATAATATCAAGAAAAAGTCTAGGGTGGACAACCTTGCCGACTTCATCTTTAGCAGCTTTGGCAATTTCGTTCTTCCGCTCAAAAGCGTCACCCAAATTTAGCTTTGCAACACTAGCTTGGATCGCTGGAATGATTGAAACAACAAAATCAAGGATGCAATAGTTGTTGCTTGCTCTGTAAGAATTTTCTAATGTGGGCTTCATTAATTGAAATTAACTGAATTAGTTTGGTCTAATAAAGGTAAGATATATGGGTTCTTAATAAGTCTAATATGGGGCTGGCTGGTGTGGGCCGCGTACGGCCCGGCCCGTAATGAGAGGGCCCGTGGTCGAAGACTCTATAAATAGCGCTCAAGTCCCTCCACTAACATGATGATGTACAATCTAACTCACATACAGATCTAGAGAGAACTTTCTTCTCGTGAGTGGCAATCTCATTAGGCCAGTGTTCTAACGAAGGGTATAGGGGAGAAGCACTTGAATTCGTGTTCGGAAACCGTCGCAAATTCTGCGTCAAGTTCGATAGATTCCAAACCAGGTACGCGAATCGATAATTTCTCCATTAACGTGCTTCGATTTCTGATTATGGTGATCCTGGGCGTGCCATTTTCGTGACCAACATGTGGTATCAGAGCCTGCCATAGATTAGAACTGAAACATGCGGATTAGGACCGTTTTCGTTATGTCTGAGAGGTTTTTACCTATTTTCGAAATTTTTTGTCGGTGGAATGTAAAATTTTATTACATATTCCGAATCAACTCGTCGAGACGAGAAGATTGACGGGTGGCACGTCATCGGAAGAGGCCGTACGCGCCCTCACGCACCGTGGGCGCGGCGGCGCGTGACAGCCACACGCGGCTGTGCCGAACCGGAGCGTTTTTCCACCGGTAACCGCTTGCTAACGTCAGCGAGGGCACGGATTCGGGTTGACCCGGATCCTGACCCGACCCGACCGTTGACTCGACCCGAGTTTTGACCCGACCCAATTGTTGACCTGACCGGTCAACCGATCAAACCAGTACGTTGACCGTTGACCGATTGGACCGGTCGGACCGGCTGTTCAGACCGGTTTGATCGACTGAACACACGCGCACGCGCCGCGCCTTCCGGCGGCACGTGAGGGCGCGTCCGGTGTCCGTTTGGGACGTTCTTGGTACCGACGCGCTCGTATCGAGATTCTCTACATTGTGATGTATTTATTTTACATGTTTGAAGCTTTTACATATGTGAAAATACGTATAGAACCCTATATAAGCGTATTTTTAGGGTATTTTTGCGTATTTTCTTGTATTTCTCTATGGTTTCGGAAATGCATATGGTAGCTCACATGTATATCACCACATAAGGATTGTGTAGAGTGTAATTCATTGTCTATCAATGGATGGAACAGTATAATTAGCATGACATGTAATTTCAAAGACATATGCCCTGTCTTTACGTCTAACATTACATGTATATAGTGAATGTGATATATAAAGCTTATATCCCTGGTATGAGAGATTTTCAAGGATTCAGTTGGGTAGTGACTGCCAAAGTGGCACACTTGACTGGGTTTGAGAAATATCGGTCTCATATTGTGGCTGGATGTCTCCTGTTCTATTGCATGATCATACTCCCAAAGGAGGTGATCTTGTATTAGTTTATGAAGGGGTACATGTATAGCATGTGCTTGAGAAATGACTGATCTTAGTGGTTCATACACCCAAAGGTGGTGATTTCACGAAAGATTAGAATATGTTCTCATGGCCGCTGTCATGTGGAGAGTGTACAACTGCATATCATATTTGCTGCCAAAAGGTGATTATGTAATGAAGTATGTAACTCTCTAGATAAGTACTCACATAATGCTCATTATATTGTTTGTTTATTTTCCAGTCACCTTTTCTATAAACGGTAATTCCATTTCCATTGAGGTCCTTACTGGGTTAAACTTTAAGAAATGGAAAGAGGATTTTCTATTTGGAATGGAGCTGGCGGATGTTCACATTGCTCTTACAAAGGATAAGCCGGCAGATATCACGGTCACCAGTACTGAAGCTGAGAAAACGGACTATGCTGCCTAGGAAAAGAGCAATCGGATTTGCTTATTGACAATGAAGAAATCCATTCAAGAACATTTGAAAAGCGGTTTGCCAGCTGACTGTACTGCTAAGGAAATGATGGCAGCCTTAGAGGCTAGAAACCGCATTTCATCTAATGCTGAGGTTGGTACACTTCTTCAAAAGCTCTTCAATATAAAGTATGATGGTACTGCTGGGGTTAGAGATTATGTCCTTAGGATGGTAGACCTAAAGACGAAGCTTCAAGCTCTTAATGTTTCCATTCCTGATGCTTGTATTGTGCATCAAGCCCTAAACACCCTTCCACCTGATTTTGGGATTATAAAGACAAATTACAATTTCCAAGATGAGACTTGGTTAGTTAATGACTTGATAGCAAGGTTTGGTGGCAGAGGAAGAGAAACTTAAGAAAGAAAAAGGGCATCTAGCCTTATATGTTTCTGGTTCTCACAAAAGGAAGGATAAGAAGTCCAGAAATTGTACTCATAAAGGTACTCATGACACTACCGATCAATCTGACAATATGGGTTCAAAGAAATCATCCTTCAAAAGGGATGGTGACCACTGCTTCTTTTGTAAGAAGAAAGGTCACATAAAGAAGGACTATGGAAAATTCAAAGCTTGGTTGTCCAAACGTGAGACTACAGGTAATGATTCTTTGGCACTTGTTTGTGAATCCAACCTATCAGAAGCACCATCTAGTTCTTGGTGGCTTGATAGCAGTGCAACTAATCATATTTCGTTTACTATACAGGGATTCATAAAACGGAGGAAGCCAAATAAGGATGAGTCAAGACTCACTGTGGGAAATAACGAGAAAGCTGATGTTGTGTTTGTGGGAGATGTAATCTTGAATCTAGACTCTGGTTTTAGATTAATGTTGAAAGACACTTTTTATGTACATTCTTTTAGACGGAACTTAGTTTCCGTATCGTGTTTAGACATGTATGGCTACTCTTTTGAAATCAAGAACATTGTAATTTCTTTGTTTCTTAATTCAAATAAGGTTGAGTGCTGTAATATGTCCAACGGATTGTACAAATTGTGTTTGTCTCCCAATGACATATACGTCGGTTATACGGCTGAAAAGGTTGTTTCCAAGAGACTGCTACCTAAGGAACAGTCTTATGCATTATGGCATAAACGACTTGGTCATATTTCTAAGGATAGAGTAGAAAGGCTGATAAAGACTAACATCCTGCCTGCTCTTAAAGATGACCTAGAGACACGCGTAGACTGTTATAGAGGTAAAATGACCAAGATAAGAAAAAAAATTGCAGTCCGAAGTTCTGACCTATTGGAGGTCATTCACACTGACATAAGTGGACCCTATACGGCAACCTTATGTAGAAATTTTTATTTCATCACATTTATTGATGACTATTC